ACTTAGAACCATTTTATAGGCTTATACAATTTTCTGGAATGAGTAGCTCCATAGAGTAATTTAGAATTATAGGGATTCAGAGTGTGGGGGGGGGTACTTTACAAAGTAGCTGATTCAACCCCCTTATAGTGCTGATGGGGGTGGGGGGGAGGGGAAGGGCCACAGTGTTCAGAAACAGGACCAGTTTCCAACTTCTTGTGTACCTCCAATCAAGAAGTTCGCATCACCTCTCCTGTGACCAAGGTTTGACCCAGGTTCCCAGGGCATCCAGTCTGGGTTAGAGAGCGTCCCTCCGAGATACTCTATGCTCTGAGGCCCATTGGGGTTGTCAGGACTTCTGGGTGGGTGGGGGTTCAGACTCCCTAGACCTCTGTGTCTCTCAAATGTTCAGGTTGGTCGTAGGCTTCCCAGGGCTCTGGAGCCACTCTGAGAGTTTGGAACATGGAAAGTGATGGTTAGGATGAATACTTCTACACATTAATACGTTACTCCTCTGCTTAGAAATCTTTAAATGCCTTCATTGCTAACACCGAAGTTTTACAATGTAGGTTTCATTATTATTCAGGCCTGGTGATCAGCAGCAATTGCCATTGAAAAGCTGTTGTGTTACTCACAGTTCCCAGAAGAGGGGGCACTCCACGCAGGGCCACATCAGCAGCCCGGGTGGGTCAGGAACCCCGGGAGCCAGGGCAATAACCTTTCCTGTGGTTTCCTCCGGAAAAGCAAGGCCAGGCCGGGCGAGCGGGCTCAGAACTAGCTTGTTTTAATACATTCAGGGGTCTCTGGGGGGCAGAGGCTGCCTCTTGTTGTCTGGTGCCGACCCTGGATGATTAGGGCCTGGAAATACCTTGTTGCCTCCTGGGGTATGGCCTCTGGCTGGGGTCATTTGTGTAGGAAAGGTGGACAGTCTGCTGCTGTGTTTCAGAATCGGCCAGCCCTGGAGGTCAGTAAGGCCCCTGATGCCAGGGCATCAAGAATTCAGACAATGCAGTTCATGCACTTGGCATTTGCAGAAGGGAGCACTCCAGACAGTTTTCCTGGGAGATGAGGGTCCTGTCGCCCATCCTGGGGGCCGCTGTGCATGGCACCTCATTGGCAGACCATAGAGTAAGCATGACTCTCAGGGGGAATGCTGCTGTAAAGAAACCCATTAGTCATTACTGAACACTGTTCTGCAAGCTGGTTTAACCATAAAACCCTTTGAAAAACATACGATGCAGTTTGAAAGATGTCCCAGCCTGAGCATCAACCTATGAACCAAGAGATCACGGTTGGATTCCCGGTCAGGGCACAGGCCTGAGTTGTGGGCTCGATTCCCAGTGTGGGGCATGCAGGAGGCAGCCAATCGATCGGTGATTCTCTCTCATCATTGATGCTTCTATCTGTCCTTCTCTATTCCTCTCTGAAATCAGTAAAAATATATTAAAAAAAATAAAGATATCCCAAATGTGAGATTTTAGACATAGAATCTAGACTTTGCTTTGAGAGCAATCTGGAGCTCAGACCCTGTCCTAGTTTGCTTGTAAGAACCAGGCAGGCAGGCTGGCTTAATTTGGGCCAACATAGCAGCTTTCCCCATGCCTGCCTCTAAGCTATGCCCGAACTGGGTTTCCCCCTGTCCAGAACTGTGTCCCGTGCTTTGTACCCAATCCAAGTCATTCCCACACCACCTCTTCTGGGAAGTCCTCGCCAGCCTCCCTCCCATGCTTCCTACCATGTGTTGGACACTCTTCTAAGCATGTCATAGCATCACAACAGTCCTACAGGCAAGCTCTGTTTGCATCCCTATTTTATAGATGAGGGACTTGAGATGCAAAGGTGCTGAGTGACTTGTCCAAGGCCATGAAGCTAAAAGACGTCCCAGTTATCATTGCCAATTAATGCTATTTGAAAATATGAAATGGGAGTCCGGTAGGTACCTTCTAACAGATAGATGGTGTTAATATGTGCTTTAAATCAGAGGGAATTTCTCTCTCTCTCTCTCTTTTCTCCCAACATTCTAGAACTTTATTAAGACTCTACACATTCAAAATTCGTTCAGAATAATTCAAATGGAATTTTAAAGTTTACTTTGGCTTAGCATGGTGTCTGTTAGGTTCTTCCTCTGAGAGAGAGTACACATTTACCAGTAAACAAGAATGCAGGGAAAATTTTAAAGCACTTTGTCGTACACTTTGTAGCACTAGCTTCTATATATGCACAATATACTACAGTTAATTCATTCTTACACATTAATTACAAAGAGCATTTTCAGAACTGTGTCAGTCAGGGTTCAGCCAGGAAAGTGGAAACAGCAGGAGATAAATATTAAGGGATTTATTGCAAGAAATTGTCTAATCGAATCTGAAGTCCCTGGGGTGGCCTGGGACTCTGGAACGGGCTGAAGCTCCTGTCCCCGGCCAGAATTTATCTTCAGGGAGGCCTCAGTTCTGCTCCTAACATCTTTCAACAGACTGAACCAGACTCACCCAGAGTGAGCAGGATCACCTCCCCCAACTAAACTCAACTGATCGTGGACTTGATTCCCCATGTACGAATTACCTTCATAGCATCACCCAGATGAGTGTGTGATTGAACCCTGGGGCTGTAGCCCCACCAAGTTCACACAAGAACTAGAACTATAACAAGAACATTTACTAATCATCATGTTATTAATCTCTTATGTTTCTATTTGTATATAAAAAGAAAAATGTTATTTGTTTAGAAATATTCCATTTAATACATGTTTTAATCATTTCAATGGGCTTTCCTTCAATTGGTCTGAAACCATGTGACACCATACATTGGTATTTCCTTGCTTCTCTGTCGTCTTCTGATCCCTTCCTGTTTACACTTGCCTCTTTCTCCCTTTGTGGTCCTGGTGTGTGTGTTGATAGCTTCTATTAACCATGAGCCTCAGCCACCTTTTCTGAAAAAGCATGGTTATAGTACTGACCTCCTAAGCTCATTGGAGGATTTACTGACCAGTGTCTGGCTCACAATAAGCAATATACTCTCGTAGTTGCTGACACTGTTATTGCCCTCTGGTTAATTTCCTTTGGCTGAGAACATGCCCCCGAGTGACAGGTACCCTGCAGGAGCCATCTGGAAGTTCTGGTGTCACATTTAGAAGAATGAAAAAGTTGGCATTTATCACTTGGTTCCAGACCCCCAATTTTATCCTTTTCTTTTTTAAATTTAATTTATTTTATTATTTATCTATTTATTTTTAAAATATATTTTTATTGATTTCAGAGAGGAAGGGAGAGGGAGAGAGAGAGAGAGAAACATCAATGATAAGAGAGAATCATTGATAGGCTGCCTCCTACATGCCCCCTATTGGGGATTGAGCGCACAACCCAGGCATGTGCCCTTGACTGGAACCAGGGACCCTTCAGTCCTCAGGCTGATGCTCTATCTACTGAGCTGAACCAGCTAGGGCTCCTTTTATTTTAAAATTTTATTCCAGTTTTTTTTTTAAAAAATATATTTTATTGATTTTTTACAGAGAGGAAGGGAGAGAGATAGAGAGTTAGAAACATCGATGAGAGAGAAACATTGATCAGCTGCCTCCTGCACATCCCCTACTGGGGATATGCCCGCAACCCAGGTACATGCCCTTGACCGGAATTGAACCCGGGACCTTTCAGTCCGCAGGCCGATGCTCTATCCACTGAGCCAAACTGGTTTCGGCTTTATTCCAGTTTTATTGAGATATAGCATTGTGTTCATTTTATTTTTATTTATTTATTTTAAATACTAGAGGCCCAGTGCACAAAAATTTGTGCACTGGGGGGTGGGGGGAGGGTCCCTCAGCCCAGCCTGTGCCCTCTCACAGTCTGGGACCCCTCGGGGGATGACCATCTGCTGGCTGAGGCCTGCTCCTCGGGGCATTGAGCCTAAGCTGGTAATCAGACATACCTCTGGCAGCCTGGCAGCCCTCAGGGGATGTCCACTTGCCAGCGGGAAGCAGACCTAAGCTGCAGTCGGACATCCTTAGCCCTGCTGAGGAGGCAGGAGAGGCTCCCACCACCACTGCTGTACTGGCAGCCATCAGCCTGACTTGTGGCTGAGCAGAGCTCCTCCATGTGGGAGCTCACTGACCACCAGAGGGCAGCTCCTGCATTGAGCGTCTACCCCCTGGTGGTCAGTGTGTGTCATAGTGACTAGTCATTCCCAGTCTTTCTGCTGTTAGGGTCAGTTTGCGTATTACCCTTTTACTATATAGGATAGAGGCCTGGTGCACGGGTGGGGGCCGGCTGGTTTACCCTGAATGGTGTCCTAGATTAGGGTGGTGGTCCTGCTTGGGTGCCTAGCCAGCCTGGGTGAGGGGCTGATGGCTGTTTTCAGGCTGCCCACACCCCCTTTAGGGTGGGGGTCCCCACTGGGGTGCCTGGCCAGCCTGGATGAGGGGCTGATGGCTGTTTTCAGGCTGCCCGCACCCCCTTCAGAGTGGGTGTTCCCACTGGGGTGCCTGGCCAGCCTGGATGAGGGGCTGATGGCTGTTTTCAGGCTGCCCTCACCCCCTTCAGGGTGGGGGTCCCCACTGGGGTGCCAAGCCTGCAACTGAAGCTCCCAGTCTCTCCTTTTTTTCTTATTCTGGGATTTATTTAGCTTCTGTAATTGAAACTTTGTTGCGGCTCCAGTTCCAAGGCCGGCTGGCTGAAAGCAGGTATCTGGGGTTTGTTTAGCTTCTATGATTGCAACATTGTTGCTTAGAGTGCAGCTCAGAGCTGGGCCACGGCAGGCGCAGAACCTTGGCTTCCTCCATCATTAGAGCAAGCAAGCCTCATGTTCGCTTCAGCTGCCTGGCTGCCGGCCGCCATCTTTGTTGGCAGTTAATTTGCATATCACCCTGATTAGCCAATGGGAAGTGTAGCGGAGGTATGGTTAATTACCATGTTTGTCTATTACTAGATAGGATATTTTTATTGATTTCAGAGAGGAAGGGAGAAGGGGAGAGAGACAGAAACATCAATGCTGAGAGAGAATCATTGATTGGCTGCTTCCTGCACGCCCCCAACTGGGGATGGAGCCCACAACCCGGGCATGTGCCCTGACCTGACTGGGAATCACACGGTCACCTCCTGGTTCCTAGGTCACCACTCAAGCACTGAGCCACACCAGCCGGCAACACTGTGCTCATTTTAAATGGACAACATCGGGATTTGTTATCTTGTGAAATGATCATTTTCAAAGACCTGTTTTCCATCACCACCTTTCCAGGGCCGTCTGCCAGGCTGGCTTTCCACAATTCCCTGTGACTTTGCTGCCAGGCCAGTGGATGGCCTTTCACAGGGAGGAGCCTTCAACTAGAGGCGAGGCGGTCACACTGCTCATGAACACCGAGTGTGCTCCAAGACCTTTCGGGGCTAGAAGCCAGTTTTCTAGGCGGCTGCCCTCGGATGCCAACAAGTGTGTTTTCTTATCCTAATTGTGGAGGAAGACACCCAGAGGAGGGAAGAGGTTTGCCCAGCTTCCGCTCCGGAATCCGTGATGAGGTGTCCTGATGCCCAGGCCCTCATCTGCTGGTCTCTGGACACATATGGTCACTATACTCACTTGTTTTGCCCGAAGGGCTCCAACACCAGCGAGGTGAGGTGCTTGGGAAAATCTCTGATTTTCTTCTTTAATTCTTTCTCTCTGGTGCTCCTGGCAGTGACAGGAAAACAAATTCATTTGCCAGCATCGATATTTTCTTCATTTGCTTTGACAAGAGGACAGTAAACTGTCTCCTGGGGAAGAGCTGACAGTTGCTGCCTGTAAACCCGAGACAAAGGTGTCACCAGGGTAACCTCCTTGCAGAGGGGCCTGAGCTGCTGTGAGGCGTGGGGAGGAGGAGTGGCGAGCGGCGGGGAGGATGTTTTCTTTACACGCTGGCCATGGCCATCTGGTAGCGACTGCCTGCCATTGTCCCACCCACAGGAAAATTATGTCTTATGTTAGGAAGTATCAGTGAAGAACTCCCATTTCAGCGTGATGTCGGTGCACACGTACTTTGTCTGTGACCTTTCCCCCAGCTCACCTGTGTGCCTCACCTGTGCGACTGTGGAGTCCTCCGAGGGGACAGGTCTTGCCCCATGTGCATCTCCCTTCCTGGAAGAGAGCTCAGGACGTAACAGGTGCTCAGCAGATGCTGGTTCCATAAGCGAATTAATGGATGTTCTGAAGGTTTCATAGGTGGCCCAAAGGGATAGATAGTTTCTTAGGACCCAAAACTAATAGGAACAAGAATTCAGAAGTGGTTGTCTCAGGTGAAATGTCCAATAATGTGGGACATTTCTAACTTCCATGAAAGAATTCTGATGTGGTCCATGTACCTCGGAATAATATCTATGTTATACTAGTAAGAGGAAGCCACTTCTCTTTTGGCGAGTGGGATTGTATGGACTTTGGTACCATTACAGCAGAATGGTTTATATATTGGGAGAATATATACCCCTGCTTTTCCTTTAAAGGGTGTTACTTAGGCTAATGAAAATCTCAGTCTAGTACAGTGGTTCTCAACCTGTGGGTAGCGACCCCTTTGGTGGTTGAACGACCCTTTCACAGGGGTCGCCTAAGACCATCTTGCATATCAGATATTTAAATTATGATTCATAACAGTAGCAACATTACAGTTATGAAGTAGCAACGAAAATAATTTTATGGTTGGGTCACAACATGAGGAACTGTATTTAAAGGGCCAGAAGGTTGAGAACCACTGGTCTAGTAGGTAGGACTAAGAATGGGGATTCAGTATTGAGTAAATGTTGAGAAAAGAGTTGAGGGAAGGTGCCATGAGGAATAATTGTGAGGTTGAATCAATCAAAGCTACTCTGTTTAATTCCAATCTGAACAATCAATGTGTTAAGTCATCTCAACAATTTATTCAAATCAATACTCATACAAATAAGGTTGAGTTCACATACGTAGACCGGTTCCATTCAGGGGGTTTCATATATGCGCTATGGTCAGAGTTGGGCAGATAGAGGAGATATTTTGCCTTCCTCAGCACCTTTATCTTGAACAGGACTGCAGGTATGTGGCTGATGTCCAAATGTCAAAGTGAAACTCTCTTGCCTGTGGCCATTTAGTTCCTAAATTGTAAGAGAAACTGTTATTTTTTTTTTTATTGATGCTTAAAACAGCCCTGACAGCTTAAATACTCAATAAGCCTTATCTAGTATCAACTGTGCATGTGTTCACGTCATTGGCTAAACTAATATTTACTGCTCACTTCTCTTAGCACGGCACCTGTATTGACTTATTTCATTCTTGAAACACTGTGAAGAAGTTATTGTCATTCTCTCATTTTAAGATAAGGAAGTGGAAGCGCGCGAGGGCGGTTGATCACACACCTCCTGAGTGACCAAGCCAGAGTGCCCAGGTAATCGACCCTGTATCTACACTTCACTGCTGAGCTCTGCAGCCTGGGATTCACATTAGGGCCCCTGGTTAGAGTCCACATCTGTCGTATCTAAATATGTTCTTTCAGGGAAATTATGGAAGGAAGTCAGTGTTAGATAACATTCGGATATTGACAGGATATCATCCACAAGCACAGAATTGGGGCATGCTGGTCTTACTTCAGCTTTTGAAACCTACCTACATTTCAAAATGTGGAGTGGCTTCTGAAACAAACCTCTAAAACCAGAGAAGTGGGATTTGCTTCACTTTGGGGACAAATGAACCTCGATGATACTGAGGGTTGGGGACCCAGGCTGTCCCAGATCCCCGGCTGCAGCCTAACTTTCTCCCTCCCTTGACTTACAGTGAAATGCTTGCCTCTAGTTGGGATGCAAGCATTTTGGAGTCTTTTGATATTTGTTCAAATTCAGCCAGATACCACAATACTCTTTTATTTGTTTTAACACTGGGTTGTGTTCCAAATGAGAAGGCTCAGTGTGTTTTTGTTTTCGCTTTTTTTATTTGCATTTCTGTCACCCAACACTATTTAGATGAATAAATGTGGAATAAAGAGATGAGAGACTATGAAATCTAGAAAAAAGCGTGGATGTATTAATGATGCCCAAGTTAACAAACTGGGCACCCAGAGAGTCCCTCCTGTGTTCTCATGGGTCTCTGTCATGTTCTCACAGTGCAGACCCTGCATAGCAATTTTTTTTTTGTCTTGAAAAACAGTAAACCAAGGGTGTTAAATAATAGTGATGAATATAAATATAAGAACAGCTTCTAAAATAAGGGTTGGGGAATACTATGTTGGGTGAGAGTTCTGGCAAATCCAGATATCAGGCCACAAGAATTCTTTATCAATTTAGAAATGCAGTCCTGCCAGCTCTCTTTGTTGAGGAGGGTCCCACAGCAACACCCGAGTAGATCTAAAGATGCAAAGGACACCTAATGCAAGAGGAAGAATCATCTTAAGAATGTCCATCACTCAAAACCAATCAGCAGTCTCACCACCTGCTATCAAATGATCTCACGGCAGCTTTCTCAGAATGCCCCATGCAGGGGCAGTGTAGGCCTTTAATAATGCCGTGACTATGAGACTGAAGAAGAGTCAAGTTCAGAGATTTCCCTAAGAGTGAAGGTTTCTCCCACAGAGTCTCATTGTCAAGGTTGCTGACATCATTGCATATTCAACAAGAGTCCACTAATCATAGACATGCTTGCACATGGGTGGCTGACAATAGTATAAAAACATGTTCGCCCTTGATAGAAACCAAAGACTGGCAAATGAAAATGGAAAGGAATTTTCCATTTGGCAGAGATGATAAAAGAAAGACAATGGTCGCTGTCTGTGAGGGCATCAGGAAATGTTGGCTCAAACCCACGTGGAGGAAATGTACACTGCTATGAAACTCATTCATTGCTTTTTCAGAAATCTATATATATATATATAAGCCTAAGCGACTGTTACAACAGAACAACCAGAATGACCGGTTGCTATGATGTGCACTGACCACCAGGGGGCAGGCATTCAATGCAGGAGCTGCCCCCAGCCCGCAGGCCCCAATCGCCGATGGAGCCTGTCAGCCAACCTCCCGGTCCTTCCCCCATGGCTGGTAGGCCCCGATTGCCCAATTGAGGCCGGGCCTCTGGGCTGGGAGGGGAACTGGGGGTAGGTCTCGGTGGACGTGGGCAGCAAGGGAAGGAGGAGGGGTGGAGGTGGAGAGGCAGGGAACCGGGCAGTGGTGGCATGCGGGTGGCTAGGGAAGGAGGAAGCAGGGAACCCGATCTGCCCTGATCACCAGCCAGGCCAAGGAACCCCACCTGTGCATGAATTTTGTGCACCGGGCCTCTAGTATTAATATAAAAATATATTTCATTGTTCAGGAACTACAAATGATAGCAACTTAAATATCTTCATGGTAGGAAAATGGTACAATGATTTATGGCATATCCATATAATAAAATACACTGTATCAATTAAAAAGGAACGCACAAAAAGAATATTTAAGGACTAGAAGGATACTTGGAATATATTTATGGAAGGCAGGATAGTGTTCCCTCCCCGAAAGGTGTCCACATCTGTTCCTGGAAACTGTGAATATGTTCTGTTGCATGGTAAAGGGGGAATTAAGGTTAAAGGTGGAACTGAGGTTGCTAGTGAGTTGACCATGAGATGGGAGATTATCCTGGCTATCTGAATGGAACCAATGGAATCACAGGTTCTTATGCACGAAAGAGAGAGGCAGGAGAGTCCAAATGTGGTGATGCGATATAAGAAAGACTCGGGTGACCATTGCTGGTGTTGAAGATGGAAGGGCGGTCAAGATCCAAGGGGGTGTAGCAGCTTCCAGAAGCTGGAAAAGGCAAGAAAATGGATTTTCTCCTAGAGCTTCCAGAGAGGAACATGACATACTGAGCGATGTCAGGCCAGTGAGATCCATTTCTGACTTTTGACCTCCAGAACTGCTAACATAATACATTTGTGCTGTTTGAAGTCATCAAATGTATGCTAATTTGTTTCAGCAACAATAAGAAATCAAAACAACATTCACGTGAAAAACGTCTAGCTTTGTAACCTGTACTTTCATTCGCCTTTGGTATTTGGAGAGCATGTCGTCTTTATTGGAGCAGTAGCGTTGTTAATAAGAAAAAAACATCTAATGTGAACACATGGCAGGAAGGAAAGGCTGTACATTTCAGGGGGTGAGTTAGGTAGGCGAGGAAGAGCTGACTGCTGTCTTGAAGAAGGCTGAACATGGTAATGAGTTATATGAAAGATATTTAATAGCAGCTTGTGGGCAAGGCCGGGCGAGGACTTGTCAAGTACTGCGACAGAGCCAAGGGAGAGAACATCTTTGTGTTGCTCAATTTTTAAGAATTATAAAATATGTCACAATTATAGAAAATTACAGAGAAAAACACCACCGACATGTGCACTTACCACTCATCTCTCTCATAGCTCATCCTCTGGCGATATTTGCTGCAGATGGATTAACATGAGGATGCCTTGCAGATATATTTGATCCCCCTCTGTGAGGTCTTCCTCTCCTGCATCCCCCCCCCCCCCCACTCCATTCCAGAGAAGGGTGTGGCTTTCATCATTCCCAGGCATGATTTTTTTTTTTTTTTTAAAGTCACGTTCCCACTTTGGCACTTATCTCTGAATTACTGATAATATCTGATAAGGTTGAATGGTGGACCCCAAAGAGATGTCTACCTCCTAACTCCCAGACCTGTGAATGCGACCTTACTTGGGAAAAGGGTCTTTGTGGATATAATTACGTTGCAGCTCTAGCTGAGATGATTCTGGGTTTATCCAGCAGGTCCCAAATTTCATGGCAAGTGTCTTAAGAGGGACAAGAGCGGCTATGTGCAGATGGAGTCAGATATTGAAGTGATGCAGTTACAAGCCAAGGAACTGCTGGAGCCACCAGAAGCTGGAAGGAGCCAAGAAGGGTTGTTCCCTAGAGCCTTTGGAGAGAGCACCTTGATTTCAGACTTCTGGCCTCCAGGACTGTGAGAGAGTGTTTGTTGTAAGCCACCCAGTGTGTGCTGATTTGTTATGGCAGCCCCAGGAAACTGATACAGTGTTGTTTTGCATCTTTCAAGCTTCTATGATAGTAACTTGGTGTACAAAACATCCTACAATCCGCTTTTTCTCCCTGTTTGACATCTATTCAGGATGCTATGCGCATTTTAATTTTATTCATTTTCTTTGCTCTGTAGAGTTCCACTGTATGACTTACTATCTAGCTGTGTGATATTGGCCTGACTTCTCCTGTGTCTCAATCCCCTCACCTAGAAAATGGAAAAAAGTTGTCACCATAAAGAGTGGAGTTACCAAAAATCAGAAAAGCCTACCTACTTCATGGGGTTGTTTTGAGAAATAAATGTGGTCATATTTGTAAAGTCTTTCCAGTAGAATACCTTGTAAACATAGGAATTGCTCACATGTTAATTAAAGAATACATTTATTCGTTCAATTGCTGAAGGACTTGTAGGACAATTCAACTTTGTCATTGTTCTCAACGAAGGGGCTTTGACTATTCCTGTACGTGGCTCTTGGTTCACAGGTGGAAGAGTTTCTCAGTGGTCCATACCTAGACATGGAATTGTTGAGTCTTGGGTAGGCACACCTTTCATTTTTCTGGATCTTGCCCAATTCTCCTTTAGAGTATTTGTAACAATTTAGCTTCCCACCAGCTATAAATGAACTCGTTTTTCCATGTCTTTGTCAACTCTTGTTATTATCAGAGTGTAAAATTTTTGCTTGTGAAATTGTTTAATTTCATTCAATGATTTACTTTTTGTTTACTTGTTACTTTTCAGATTACTAGTAAGATTGAGCATCTTGTGACATGTTTGCTGACTATTTCTGCTGCTTCTGTGAACTGCATGTTCATGTCCTCTGTCTCTCTTTCTATCAGGTAGTTTACCTTTTTGAAAATGTATTTATCACTTTCTGTGGATGCTGGATGCTTGCACTTTCTTTGTATGAAGTATTGCAAGTATTGTTTACCAGTTTGTGTCTTATCTCTTCACTTTGTTTATGGTGTCTTTTGTTTAATAAAACTTAAAAATGTCAAGTAGTCAAATATACCTATCTTTTTCTTTATGATATGTTCTTTTAAATGACTCTTGTTTAGGAAAACCTTTCCTAACCTAAAGTGGTACAATCTTGTTTTTATATTTCTCTTAAATGTTTAATGGATTTGATTTTTATGCCTAGGTTTTTATTTTTATTTTTTTTTAATTTTTAAAAAAATATATTTTATCGATTTTTTACAGAGAGGAAGGGAGAGAGATACAGAGTTAGAAACATCGATGAGAGAGAAACATCGATCAGCTGCCTCCTGCACATCTCCTACTGGGGATGTGCCCGCAACCCAGGTACATGCCCTTGGCCGGAATCGAACCTGGGACCCTTCAGTCCACAGACTGACGCTCTATCCACTGAGTCAAACCGGTTTTGGCCATTCCTAGGTTTTTAATAGACTTTGGGTTATTCCTGTATATGATGAAAGTGAGGAATATAATATTTTCCATGTTGATGACCAATCGTCTCATATGTATTGAAAAGACCAGGGTGCCTCTGGGCTCTCCGGGGCACTGGTCTGCTTCCCTAATCTTGCAACCAGATCCATTCCTCTAATTGACTATGGTCTTGTAATAGGAATTACTGGACAGGCGAGTTCTCATTCTCCTCTCAGCTTGTCTTCTTCAGAAGTGCCTCTGCTATTATTGGCTTCTATATGAATCTGAGACTATATGTGTCTACTTATAAGAAAAACCCCTGTTGATTTTTAAATGGAATTTCCTTTTTAAGGTAAATTTCAATATATTTATGAATCTTTCCATCTATTCAAAATGTTTTTGTGTCCTTCAATGATGTTCATCATCTTCTCCATAAAGACCTTGCCCATATTTTAAAATATTTATTTCTTTGCATCTTGTCATTTATGCTACTACTTTTTTGGCCTCACTTTTATTTTATATTAAATTCTGTACAAGGTCCTTGTTTGTTTATTCCAAAGCTATTGCTGAATTCTTTAATGGTTTTGTTTGCATTTTGTTTAGCTTTTAACAATTGTTTTATTTTTTCCATCACCATTTATCCTCTCTATGCTCTCTTCCACCTCCAACCATCCCCTCCAACCCCCAACCATGTTGCTTGCATTTTTAATGGTGACACATTTTCTACAAATTAGGAATTTTGTAGAAATGTTACCTCTATGATTCTGCCAATACTCATCTCCCCCTTCATTGTCTATAGCAGAGCATGTATTTTTTATTTTTGTATTTTTCACCAAGAGGTGTCATGAGTGTGTGTCTGACCTCTTCAGTTACAGAGTAATTAAAGACATGTTTTTTCCCTCCTGTTGGCACTGAATTGAACACACACACACACACACACACACACACGTGCATGCACACACATGTATGTCAGGGAGGAAGCATGTAATATATATATATTCCACCCCCTCCTCAGTTTCTCTAACTGCTTTTGAATGAGGAAGATCCAAATTCATTTTTGCATGAAATATATATTTTTAACAAGTTGGTATTTTATGGTGTGCTGTAACCATCTGTCACTAGGTCTAAAAATCAGATATATCAAAACTAACTTTTTTTTAAAGAAAAAAATGAAATTTCTTTAGGACCTTTATATCCCCAAAGGGATTTAGGGTAATCTTGCTTTGAGGCAACACTGACCTCCTGTGGCCAGAGAGTCTCAAAAAATTATTCTTTTCCTTTTTACTAAAGAGTTTTCTTTCTAATAATTTATCTGTCATACAAATGGTTATTTTCAGTCCACAAAATTTACTTTTACTTAACGACGTGGATATAGTTAACCTGTAACTCTCTGTCACCAAGGCCACATGTAAGAAAGAGCCCTCTGCTCCTTGCTGAATGTGTGGTAACCCTCGGGGCGTGTGGGAGCCTCACAGAGCAGGAGGTGCCACATTTGCCCTCTGGGCCTCTGAGTCTGTGGCTCTTTCCTGCATTTATTGCACTTCCCCTTTTCCTTTCATTTCTGTCAATGAATCCATTTTATTAACTGAGTCTCAGGGAGGCCTTGGAGTCAGCTATTCCTTATTTACTGATACCTCCTTATTCTTCTCACATCAATTTACTTTCCAACATAACTGTGTCCCATTCTCTTCCCCATTCACCACCATTATCTTCAGCTTCTTTGAAGATGACAGTATTCCCAGGTGTCTTCTCTGGTTTCACTCCTCTCTTTTTTTAAATTGAGGTATGATTGACATATGACATTACATCAGTTGCAGGTGTACAACATATTGATTCAGTATTTGAATATATTGTGAAATGATCACCACAATAAATCTAGTTAAGATGCATCACTACATAGTTATGGAATTTTTATTCTTGTGTTGAGAAATCTGAAGATCTACTCTGTCAGCAACTTTCCAGCACACAATAGGGTATTGTTACCAGTACAAAAAGGAAGCCGCAGGTATTAGCAGGATGAGACAGGCTTGGATGGGAGAACTCCTAGCACTCTACATCACAGCACAGAGGAAGTTGGTTGACAGCTATAGACAAAGCCATTTTTGCGTGTAAGCAATGGGAAGGGTGTTCCCACTGACAAAAAACGGAGCCATGGTAGAAGTACCCGGAGGGAATGAATAATTATTTAGCTTTCTAACCCCATGCTCACTGCCACCCCTTTAATTTTATTTAATTGATGCTTTGTCCACTGAAGTTCAGAACAGCAGTGGGGAGGGGGAAATGAAGTATCTAAAAAAGCTGAATTTCAGTTGATTTGGGGATAGTACGTTAGGTTAACAAGATCAAATGAAACAATTTTTGTGGCATGTTCTGAAAATGATTCTTGAAACATAATCTAAAATGTCACAGATTTTACTAATCAAATACATGCTTTTATTAAAAAGACACAGGACTAGCCCTGGGAGAGAAGCTATGCTGTCACTCATGGGAAAGTTTTGCAGCAAAATAATAAAACTGCTGGTAATAGTCAGGCGTCAAGTTTCAGTTTTTCTTCCAAGATTGTGGCATTCATTCTGAGCCCAGCAGAGCCTAACTCTGAATTTCAGGACTCAATTTTAGACACTCAGGAGTTAGGGCTTTTTTGTTTGTTTGCTTTTGTTGTTCACTTGGCCCTTGAGAATGCAATGTAAAAGACAGCACTTTGAACTGGAATGATAGGAAGAGTAGTTGGGAGGCTAGATGGCAGGTGGTGGTGGGAAGCATAAAAGACTCCCCGCCCCTCCGCCCACCTAAGGGTACTCAGCTTTGAGATGTTTTATAAGCAGGTTGTTTCCCAAAGAGAATGAATTGTAAATATATCTCCAGTTTAATGCTCTGTTGAAAAGAAGCAAAGACTGTCACTAGGAAATAAGATAAGGGAAGTAAGGGCCTGCTACTCCCTTGTGTTTGCCTTTCGATACCGGTTTTTATGTTTGTCGCTCTATTTCTGGATATATGTTTTTGAATACATTCCTATTTTAAAACCTCTCCCCTTCTTTTGTGAATTGTTCGAGTTTATCTCCATCTTCCAGTAGGGTGGAAATAGGGAAATTATTTAGTTGTGTTTTATCCCTGTGGTTAAGGAAGGGCTCTGGTTGGTTTATCAGCAGCGCCCCCTTGTGGCATTTATACGCATTTCTTAATTCTAAATAGTGGGGAAAATGTCAAGGACAAGGAGAGGCTAAATTTGATTTATAAACATTATTTTATTTTTTCAGGCTGTTAATTTTTCTTTTCTCTTGCTGTATATGTTAGTTCAGCCTAAAATTCGTTCTTATGGCATGGGTAACTGGTCTACTGATATTAAATTTAGGAGTGAGCCTAAGTGAAGACATTTTGATCACAGTGACCAATAAGTCAGTGACAAAAAGCCCTGTTAGATTCTTGCTCTTGACTTGTTTTTTAACACTTGAATACTTTAATTTTAAAATATACTTTTCTCAAGATTAAAGTTTTTTTTGTTATTGTTATTTCATGGTATCATATTCCTTTTATCTTTATTTGAATTTAGGATATAAATTCTCAAAACTTTTTCATTAACTACTAAAATATATATCTTGTGCAACACCTTATAAGCTCATATTCAAATTCTGTGTGAAATTATTTGGAAATTGAATAAAAATTTCATATGTGAGAGGTATAGACTCAGCAAATTAGGGCTAACATAGACTTTAACTTTTTAAAAGAAAAAGTCTCCATGATTCAAATTATAGGATTAAAACTCAGAATTAATGCATTTCACATGAGCTGAATATCTTGCTATGAGCTTTGCTCTAATTCTAGAGTTAAAACCAATGTTAAAATTGCTTCTTTTATTGTTGTTGACTCTATTACAGATGTCCCCCAGTCCCCCTGCCGCCCCCCCCCCCCCCAACCTGGCCTGCACTCTGCCACCTCTACCCAGCCCCCACTCCTCTCTCTGGCCTTCACCACACTGTTGTCTGTGTCCATGGGTTATGCATATGTGTTATTTGGCTAATCTCTTCACCTTCATTCATTCAGCCCTCCCCCACCCATCCCTTTTGACATTTGTCAGTCTGTTTCCATGCCCCTTGACAACTTTTTGTTGTTGTTTGTTTGTTTTGTGGTTGTTACAGTTTTTTTTATTGCTGTAACTGCTTTTCCCTCTGTCCATCCAGTTTTGGTCTTGTTGGAATAATTTAGATTAGGAGGTCATTCAGGGATCATTGAAAATACCCTAAGCTGTGGAGGTGAGCTGTGGGCAGGAGCCAAGGCCAGGGGTAGAACACAGTCCAGGAGTAGAACACAGTCCATGTCCCCCCCACCCCCCCACCCCACCCCCCACCCCAACCCGGCAGTTGTAAGGAGCCCTCTGCCTGGGAAGTTGTTCTTCAAAGGGGCTGGCTCCAGAGTGATCACAATCAAGTCAGTGCCCCACCTCACTGCCTGGTGAGGGCCCTCACTTAGGGGAGAGGAGCCATGCCCCCACATTTCCTATCCCTCCAACAGATCTGTTATTATTTTTCACTCTTAAAACTTACCAATGAAGATTGTCTACACTAGTGGAGGGAGGCGGGAATCAAGAGTTTAGATTTCTTTTCAATTGCCATCC